CCCAACATTCAAAAAAATTTATAATAATTTAAAAAAAATTAATTATTTTAAAAAGTGAAAAACACCTCCCCCACACACACGTATTTTTAGTCAGACTAAAAATTCACTTGAGATGAAATGAACGAAAACTAAAAACGTTTGCATTAGTTTCATCAAACAAAATAAATTTTTATGCTATTTTGGATTCAGCCATTGGCGTGTTCTGGAGGCAGGGCGCATGACGTCATATAACACCGCGCGCGTGTATACACCAAGATGGCGGCACCTATAAAGGCGTGTGACATCACGCATGCATGGCGTCATGTGACCTCATGCTCCCCGCCTCCAAGATGGTGGCACGCATTCGCAGAACGTGCCGGTGGCTAACATGGCCGCCGCATATTCTCAAACAAAATTGTTATGTGCCCGAATAAATTTGTCGTATATTCAGGCAAATAATATTTCATTAATTTAACATGTAGTCTAGGTTTTGTGTTCTGTTTTTTTTATTTTTACTTTTTTAGATAACCCTACTTGAAAAAAGGGTGTCGGCATGACAACCTGACACTATTTTTATAGACTCTATTTTAGTTTGACATTTATTGTTTCTCGTTTGTCTTCTGTTGGTTTATTTAAAAATAATACTTATATTATGCCAACAAGTTTAATACCTTTAAATAAAAGTTTTATTTTTATCATACTTTTTAATGTTTCTTTGGGGGTTAACAAAATGGGAGTCTTTAAATGGTGTGGATATTGGGAAAAAATGAGTGTGGCCACTGAGTGGTGTGGTTACTGAGGGGCGCTGTAGAGCTTTCTCGCACAGGGCGCCTAAAGGCCTAAGGCTTGCCCTGCATGTGGATGTTACTTTGACACCTACCACCTACTTAAACATTGTTGCTGACCAAGTATACCCCGTCATGGAAATTGTATTCCCTGGATGCAATGCCCTGTTTCCTTGCCACACTGCAAAAATGGCTCAAGAATTGCTTGAGGCACACAACGACAAGTTTCTGGTGTCGACTTGGCTTCCACATATCCTGGTCTCGATCCAATCAAGCATCTGTGGGATGTGCTGGAAAAACAAGTCTGATCCATCAAGACCCCACCTCACAACCAAGCCATCAGCTACTGATGGATTGGTACCAGATACCACAGCATACCTTCAGAGGTCTAGTGGGGTCCATGCCTTGACAGGTCAGGGCTGTTTTGGCAGCAAAAGGGGGACCTACTCAATATTAGGTGGGTGGTCATAATGTTATGGCTGATTGGTGTATATATTAGATTGATACTGTATACCACATATCTTATATGGTTTTCAGGCAGTCCTAGCCCTTTGAAAAGCTTCATAAAGAGGATTGGGGTTGCTTACGACCCAACCAATAAATCCCTTCACCTGTGAAAACTTAGAACCCAAATCCATTATAACTTGGAAGAACTTGGGACCAGTTAACAGTGAGCTTGGTAAGCCTATTCAATGCCAATAAGGATCTACAAAAGCAAACACTATCTGGAAAAACTCTACCTTGGAATGTATAAAAAGGAAGGCAAAACACGTAATACTAATATAGCTTTGTTGCTAAAGTATATAAAGTAAGACCACATTAAGTATACCGCATACGGGGGGCGTGGCCAGGATGTGAGGCTGAACGGACGTCCATTGCAGCAGCTCCGATCATCCGTCTAGCCATCCTGCTTCCCAGCTGACCCAATCGTGGTTATACCGCATACAGTTTTGGGCACTACATTTCAAAAAGGAAACGAGTTTTGGATAGAGGTCAGAGGTGGGTAACTAAATCATTAAAAGGAATACAAATTCTTAATTCCCATGAAAGATTTGAAAAGCTAGGTATGTATTCACATGTTTCAGTATGCAGAATGTTTACATACAGTATATCCAAGGTTCACATAAAGATTTGGCTAATGAATTTTTGATCTAGTAACTGTATAAAAGAGAAGGGGACAATAGTTGTTTATGGAAATAGAGTTACCCATTTGAATATTTTGACCCCTAGCCCTCCACATTCCACCCCTCCAACACTCACACACACTTGCTCGGGGGCGGGGGTTGTTTTGCCTTCATCTTCATGCTGTTAGAGGTTGAATGTGATGAAGAGCCTTTATTTGTATTTATTAACATCTCTACAAAGCTGGACAAAGGACACGTGGTTCTGTAATCCAAATCAACCTCCTTATTGTCTTTAAGAACCCATTCAGGCTTATGCATTGTAAAAAGGTTTGTAGTACCTTGTGTTACTGTTACACACGTCACTTTGTGCAAGTAATTTGTGGCTATGTGCATTGCATTGCCATTCATTTGAATGGCACCCCAAATGCATCTGCCACCTACAATGCAATCGATTGCACCGCAACACGTGGTACTGCAATACCAAGCATTGCGGTGCGATTAAAAAAAGTAGTGCACGCATCAGACCAGTGTGAATTGACCCTGAGACTGGTCATACAATATTAGATTTTATATTTTTTATTCAGAAAGAAACAGATTCCACCATTCATGTTAAACGGAATGGATGAATGAATCTCCCTCTGCAGCTATTGTATTCAGTCACTGTTCGTCCACAAATCTGTGGCCCAAATCCTCTGATAAAAGTTGATTGAGTATTAATCATCTTTTGTCGAACCAGCAGGGCCACCCACTGTAAACATTTCTAAATTGCAACAGTGTATGGCCAGTCTAAGAAGCAAGGCAAGTGGCCATGCCTGTTTTTTAGTGTTTTTATTTTCTACTTAAAAAACTGCTAATACTTTATTGCCTAGGTAAATATTATTTTAAGTTTTTCTTTAATATGTCGGTTTGTTCTACATAAATATGTTAAAAATTGCAGATTATTTTTGTCTAGTGATGCATGCCTTGAATTGGCACGCTGTATTGATTTAGCTTTCAGTTATGTAAAGAAATATCTACAAAACCAAAACAAATCACTATTCTTCATTTGCTTGCTGTCCTGTAAGTGTGAAAAGGGATGAACTGAAATTACTGTTCCCACAACAGCCCGGGACAACCTTCTGTGATAATGTATTGTTATGTCCCATAGACAATAGACAGCTTGAATGACACTATATAAAGACCTGTGCACCGCCGGATCTATTAATGTCTAGTGGCGGAGCAGAGTGTAATCTCTATCAGAGCTGACCTGTGTACAAGAGCCAATACATCAGACAGTATGAACCCTGCCAAGCTCAGGAGCCGCACAGAAAATCAGTTCAAGGAAGAGCAAGAAATGGAAAATTTGGGGAAAAAAGCTTGGGATAATCCTGCTTATGATGGTTCTCCATCTCCAAAGATCAAAGCCATATACAATCCCAAAACTATTCTGGAAAATCCATATGACAGTATGGACCACTTGGGGGACCCACCACCTTACCAGGAAGAAAGGAGAACTAAAAGGGGCAATTTATGTTCAGAATTCTGTTCCAACATTGTCCGAGGAATAAGAGGTAAATTCTCTACTACAGCTCAATTTGTCAAAGCATATTACCTGGACTATTTGTGCAAGCTGTGGCACCACAATTATAGGAAACTACAAGCTCCAGGAGGCTTGGTCAGCTGCTAACAATGCTGGGACCTGTAGTTTGTCAACATTTGGAGTAGTAGTTTTTTTTATTGAGGCAGATGTTTTATGTGGATTTTTATAGAATGAAAAAAGAAGCGTCACTACTTTGCAGATTTTGTCAAGTTGCACTGCTATTTAAATCACCACCTTTTATCTGCAAAGTCCATAACAAATTGAATACATTTTAAAATGCGTTAATGTTTCTTATATGAAACCTGTACAGGGAAAGAATAGAAGGTGTCGTTGCCGGCTTTCGCTTTTAAAAAATACTAGTTTGCTGGCTTCAGTATTTTGGGTCACTGATTCAGAATAAGTATAGAGATAATGACCTTTGGCCTTCCGGATCTGAATGCTTGCTCCAAGTCAGTGCCTCACAAAGTATTGATGCCAGACATAGCCAGGCAACTAGCATTTTCCGAAGGTCAACAAGGGCAACCAATGTGACAAATATTGATATTTAAAACTATAGCGATGTTTACTTTACATTTATTTAGGTCTCTGTCTATCCGCCTGTGTATCTGCCTATCCCTTTCTTCTAGCTCCTCAAGATCTTTACTATTTTATAACAGAATATTATGTATGTAATGAAATAGCTGAAATGATATATATGCAGACATGTGCCATGTACTATGCGTCTATTCTTTGAATGATCACATTTTGAGACATTTGTGCTTAGTATGCTTTAATAATAATTAGTGTGTTCGGGTACATAGAGACTCACATGGGACAGAGCAAGAATTTTGTCTGTGCGCCCAGTGGACCACACCTGGCCGACTAGACACATCTATATGATTAATCATAGCTCTCCTCTGTGTTCCACAAAATGACATATTTGGGCTTTTTAAGCTTGTTCTTTCCATGTGTAATTTGTATTGGTCATTAATTGCAGTACTGATGATTATTTTAGTTTTTATGTGTTTTACAGTCTATTTGTTCTGTACAGATCTATCATCCTAAAGTACAGTTGTCTGTCTCTCTCTCTCTCTGGAGGGAATAGGTGAGTCCAGGAACATTAACAGGATAAGGGATAATATAAAGGAGCATAGGGGGTGGGTCCTTGTTTGCTTATGTGTCTTAGTCCTTCCTTGACATGCTGTAACATATTATGCAGCTATTTTCACCATCAGCTCCTTTTCTCCCAGTGGGAGAATTTCTGGAAGTAAGTTTCACTGCCGAATTGTAATTGTTAATAATGTCCTTTTTTTATTTGAGATTTTCTTTCTATCTCATTAGAAAGAACTTGGATTGGTAAAATATATCCAGCTGGTATGGAATGCTGTATAGTATATTACTGAGTAAATCCAGTTGTCCAGTCCAGGCCCATTCACACATACAGCGGTGCCCTTTTTTTTCCCACTGGATCAACGCAGGTCACCTGGTTCAGCTTCTGGCTACATGTATGTCTAAAGGTGCCCATACACTGCACGATTCTCGTACGAGAATCACGAGAAATCCCGCGATCGTACGAGAATCGTGCAGTGTATGGAAGGCGTGCGACCGTTTCTACTGTACGGTCGCACGTCTTCCGTCGAACCAGCAGGCTAGAAAACCCGCCGGGAATCGTACGATTCTCGGCGAGTGAGTGGCCTGCTGGTTCGACAACTGACGAACGGGCCGGTGTGCGCACGCGCACACTGCCCGTTTGCCGTCCTCGCAAGCCCGCCCCTCATTGCAGTCATCGCAAGTCATCGATGATCGCAAGTACGATCTGCCTGTCCAAGATGGGCAGATTGTACGTTTTTTTAAGTACTTTACAACCATCGCAAGACTAAGGTCTTGCGATGGTTGTACAGTGTATGGCCACCTTTAAGAGTCCAGCCTGCCATTGTTCCCAACTAAGTTCTCTCCACCTGGGAGTTTTGGGTGTTCCCACCTTTACATGTTTAACACCTGTTGCATTTCTGATCACATGAACTATATTAAACGGTGGGACCCTGTCATAATGGTAGTGCGGCAGACGTGCATGCTCAAGAATTCATGCGGATATCTCACCAGCAGAGTTCTCACAAGATAAATTAAATTGTCAGGTGGTTTAACTTTCCAGTATCTACCAAAAATCTAAATATTAGTTTAGGTTGGATTGACCACATGAGGTAACATCAGTTTACCATCATCATAGAGAACCTGGAACAATGATATGATCACTAAACCTAATATACATGTTGTCTTACTAATAAATAACATAAAATTATTTTAAAAAAGTATTCAGGTTGATGAGTTGAGCAATGCCTAAATTAACATTATTCCCAAGCCCAATAAAGACTCTAATAATGGCTCTAAGTCTCTAACTACATATCCCTGATTAATAACGACTTCAATTTTAAATCCAATTTTAGTGGACTGACATTTAGTGGCCTTGAATGCTCTCCCCTATCACCCCTGACAAGGCATTCACTTGTTCCTGCACCACCAAGTCTTGTTAGAAGTTTTTACGTACAAGTGCCCTCCCCTAAGTACTCCTAACTATAATATTGGCTAGTACATTTAACAACAGTCTTTCAATAGCTTTCCTGCACCGTCACCCTGTCACGCACATCTCTGGTAGAGACTACAAGCCATGCTGACACACATTGTACAGGCTTGGTTCACCATTGTCACTATGAGGTAGCCAGTCCAGGGTTATGATGTGCAGCTGATGTAGTAGTGAGTGCATGTAGACAGACAGTGGCTGAAAGAGGTTAGAGGAGATCAGCCATACTGAAATACGGGATAGAAAAAAAGTGCATAGTATCTTATGGAAAGCACACCATGGTAATCCTTTATAATCATACATGAGAACTTTTAGAAATTGTAATTCCTAAGATGGTGGGTGGGGAAGTGGGCGGAGCTGTGGTGGGTGTACCCAAATGTTGTTTTAAAAAAGTGGGTGTGGAGTGGATAGGTTGAGTGTAAGCGCACTGTGTTACACTATTTCAGTGACACTGACAGTGCACCTGGCTCCCACCTAGCCAACATTCTAGTAACACTAACAGTGCCTGTAGGTGGAAGCCAGGTTCACTGTCAGTGTCACTGGAATTAATTGCCACTGCCACCTACAGGCACTGTAAATGTCACTGGAATGGCGGATAGGTGAGACTGTCTCTAGAATAGTGGGTGTACCTGGCTCCCACCTATCCACCATTCCAGTGAAACTGACAGTACACTTGGCTGTCACCTACAGGCATTGTCAGTGTCGGCAGAATGGTGAATAGGTGGGAGTCAGGTGCATACACTAACCATTTCAGTGACACTAGCTGCATACACATACTGTATATACATACAATCATGTGAAAAAGAAAGTACACCCTCTTTGAATTCTATGGTTTTAAGTATCAGGACATAATAAAACCATCTGGTCCTTAGCTGGTCTTAAAATTAGGTAAATACAACCTCAGATGAACAACAATACATAATGTATTACACTGTCATTATTTATTTTGCAAACATAAAGCCAAAATGGAGAAGCCATGTGTGAAAAATCAAGTACACAAGTACACCATGTTTCAATAGCTTGTAGAACCACTTGTAGCAGCAATAATTTGAAGTAATGATTTTCTGTATGACTTGTTTATGCACAGCTCTCTCAATGTCTAGCCACAGCATTTCAACCGGGTTGAAGTCTGGACTTTGGACCATTGCAACACCAAGTTTTTTTTCTTTTTCAGCTATTGTGTTGTAGATTTGCTGGTGTGCTTGGGATCATTGTGCTGTTGCATGACCCAATTTCGGCCAAGCTATAGCTGTCGGACAGATGACCTCCCATTTGACTCTAGAATACTTTGTTATACAGAGGAGTTCATGGTCGACTCAATGACTGCAAGGTTCCCAGGTCCTGTGGCTGCACAACAAGGCAGAATCATCACCCCTCCACCACCATGGTTGGCAGTTGGCATGAGGTGTTTGTGCTGATATTCTATGTTTGGTTTTCGCCAAATGTGGTATTGTGCATTATGGCCAGATACTGTATCTTCACTTTGGTCTCGCCTGTCCAGAAGACATTATTCCAGAAGTCATGTCGTTTGTTCAGCTGTAACTTTGCAAACCTAAGCTGTGCTGCCATGTTCATTTTAGAAAGAAGAGGCTTTCTCCTGGCAAACCTTCCAATCAAACTATACTTGTTCCAGTGACGTGCGTTACCTTCGCTTGGCACTCCAAGGTGAGGTGAGGCACTCCACAGCCTTGCCCCCAGCACGCCCAACCCCGCCCCCAGCACATTGAAGCCTCACCCATACCCCATAGAAGCCCCACCCCCATCCCGACAAAGCCCCGGCTAGTGGGATGGAGGGAGGAGGAAGGGAGGAGCCTCCCTGTCCCTCACTTACTCGTCGCTGCTGAGGCATCGAGATAGATGGCCTCAGTGGTTTGTTTGTTTGTTTTTTCCTTTTTTTGATTGGACAGCTTGGACCAATGGCGCTTTGAGTCCAAGAGTAGAGGTTGTAACAGCTGTTGCCTCACTAGTTAGGTTACACAAGCAGTGGGGAAGCCCGCTGCTGTTTAACCTAACTACCTGTCAAAAGCCAGATGCAGCACTGCCTGTAATCAACAGGCAGCGCTCCATCCATGACAGGTTACACAGCGGGGAGGCTTTCCCTGCTGTTTAACCTGTTGCAAGCTGATCGGAATACAGAAAAAGCTGTCAGCTTCAGACTTAAAGCTGACAGCTTTTTCCTCCATAATACTAGGTGAGGCTCTGCCTCACCTGCCTCTCCTGACCGCACGTCCCTGACTTGTTCAGTCTTTTTCTAATGGTACGGTCATTAACTTTTATCATTTAAGATGTTAACTGAGGCCTGTAGAGTCTGAGGTGTAACTCCTGTTTTTTTTGTGCAATTTCTCTGAGCATCACACAGTCTAACCTTGGGATGAATTTGTTGGGACACCACTCTTGGGAAAACTGGCAATTGTCTTGAATGTTTTCCACTTGTGAATAATTTTCCTCACTGTAGAATGATGGACTTGAAATTGTTTGGAAATGGCCGTATAACCCTTCCTAGATTGATGCAAAAATAACCCCCAGCATTGGTGCTCAGTGGACACAATAATAAAACCCTTCCCCCTTGCATTGCCAAGTGGTCAGTGGTATTGTTCATTAACCTCCCTTGTATTGGTGGCACTGGCAGAGGGGGAAAAAAGCACTTACATGTGCAATGAAGACTCCAGCACCCGACACAGCTGTCAGCAAATTATGTCATGGCCTGGGCTCTAATTCACCTGTCGGCAGACATCACTCCGCCTCTGCGGACAAACTAGTCTGCCTGGCCCTGCCTGCCTGCTGCATCCTAGTGCTGGGTGCCGGGTGAATTAGCATTTGAAATTGCTTTGAAACCTTTTGACTTTAAAATTCCCATTATTAAGTAGGGGTATGCTAGAACTCTCTGCCCTGTTAGCTTTGTATTGTTGTCTGTTTCCCTGTTGCAGATTTTTCCTCACTACCGATCTGGTAAAACCTTATCCCCAGAACAAAAAATGAGGGTAAATCTCGAATGGACTTCTGGATAGCAGTACAGCTTGACAGGAGTTCTCATCTTTCCCCATTCAATCTAAACTAAAAAAATATGTGTACAGATATCCTTCAGCCTATTTAGGAATAAACATTACACATCTATAGACTCATATTTTCCTCTTCTTTCAAAACTGTTTAGTATTTCTAAACCATTGACACAAGACAGATGTATGCTATACGGACCACATTCTGACCCTATCTGCATACTTTAGTAAAACACAAGAGTGGTGAGACTTGGCAGTCTTAGTTTGACAGTTTGGTGACCCTGGATCCATTGTAGCCTTCTTTTCCTGTTCATATCTGACAGGAGAGGAAGACCTCATGGTCCTCTGCTGCTGTAGAAAAGCAGGGTTTGAAATGCTGAGAGTACAGTACAGCTTATGCACCTCATTGTTGTAATAAGAGGTTATTTGAACTCTCTTAGCAAGGTGTATTTGACCACAGAATTGTCACCCACTGGATGCTTTTTGTTTGTTAAATCGTTCTCTGTAAACTGCATGAGACTGTAGTATGTGAAAACACCAAGAAGTCCAAGCAATTTTGAAGTGCTGAAACAGACCTGTCTAGCTAGCTGTAGTCATCAGAGAGGTTGGTTCTTTTGTACAGTACTGTGCATGAATGCCGGCCCACTACGTTATTCATAACTAAAAGCTTCATAAACTCTATATAAAAGCTTCATAACTCTTGAACCAAGGGCAGACAGGGACAAATGAATACCAAGTTTATTATCAATAGACCACAGTTCTGGTTAAGGAGGAGAGATTCCTACCCAATAACCCTATCTTCCCCCAAGTCTTCTAGCTGCTGCTAAGTCACCATTGGGGATGCTCAGCCATAGGCCTTTGTATTAGATGAATTGTCATCAAGATTTGTTTTTTGTTTTTTTGTAATCTGTAATGGATAGAATTGAATCTTTTGCTATAGGAAATCTCCTCCTCTTCTTGGATTTCATTAAATGTTATACTCCAGGGCCACTGTGATTTAAAAAATAGACTTATGGGTGCAAATATTTGGAATTGGCATAAAGCAAGAGGAAGGGATAAGGATCTCAGATTTCAATGTTTGTATTTTTATATACGTATATTGTAATGTTTAATTTTGCTAATGGAGAGACTGCATTGTATAACTGAGCCCATATCGCCTTTAAATTGCTGTTTGCTGAATAATAGAGCTTTGACATACAGGATGCTGATCAGGAGCTGATGTATTGTTTGAACAGCACAGCGGTAAAGGTCTGTCCTAGAGGTGATACAGGTTTCTGCTCTTTGTGCTTGGAAGGAGATATGAGCCTTTGTAAAAAAAGACCGAGAGGCCTGACAACACAACAGAGAATGTTTCATGATAACATATGGTCTTGCAGATTACCATTACTGTAATAATATGTTCATCATTATTGATTTTTAGATGTGACTATTATAAGGGAAGAAGCTTAGGTAGGGCTTCTGACATAAAGTTAAGTCCATACATATTTTGGTTGTGACCGTGTACAAACATTTTTCCTCCACTCTGTATTTGAAATGAAGCAATCAATATTGATTGAAATATAGACTTTCAGCTTTAATTTAAGTGGTTCAATAAAAACTTGCATAAGCAATTTAGGATTTACAGGCATTTTTATATATAGTCCACCAGTCATAAATATAATAACCATTTCCAATATTTTGTTGAAAACCCTTTGCAGTCGATGACTGCCTGAAGTCTAAAACTCATTGGCATCACCAAATGCTAGGTTTCCTCCATAGTGATGCTTTGCCGAGCCTTCACTGCAGCCTTCAGTTGTTGCCTTTTCATTGGCAGGTTCTTTCTGCCTTCAGTTTTCTCTACAACAAGTGAAATGCATGTTCAATTAAATTAATTTCACTTCTTTGCTTTAAAAAGCTCTTGGAAGCGTGGAATTTGTATTATATTTTTGGTCATTGTCATACAGATAATATATTCCTATACGCTTCAGAATTAATAATCAATAAACACTAGAGCCAGTTCCATTAGCAACCATACATGCCATTTTTAGAAATGTACCAAATTGTTGATTTAACAACTCCTGTTGTTTCTGCTGTCTCTGAGATAAGATTACGATAACAAGATTTTACCAGCCTAATGATAACGTTTTATTTACCATGACAGTTCTTTGGACCTAATATTGAGAGGTCACAGCACATTTTGCACATCAACCACCTTTTACCTGCTAAATTGTTAAAGCTGAACTCTGTAGAAGAGAAACAATTTTCCCTTGTAGAGGGGTGTGCCCCCACCCCCCTCCCTTCCCACACTGCAAGGCTCATATGCTTCTTTATGCCTAAGGTACCTGTGACGAGCACCTTTACTTACCCTATTCCTCATCCACTGGTGACACTCTCTTCTGCTCCTAATGCTATGGCTTGTTTGCGGTCCCTCGGCATCCTCAAATACAATGCAGGGCAATGACACCAGAGTGTCTTCGATCACTGAGAAGAGGGGAACAGGTAAGTAATGGTCCTTGGTATGGGAATAATCAAATAATAATGGTAGAGCCTACACCTAGAGCAGCTTGTCAGTCAATTTTCCAGTTATTATAGTCAGCTTTTCTCTGCTCCTTCCTCTGATGCAACTAATGGCACTACCTGGAACTTCTGGGTATGGGGGAGCACAGGATGTACTCTTTTGTGACAGTGTTCAGGCCTAGCCGACTAATAATAGGCCTAAGCACTGTCACATCACCAAAGGAGTGATGCCATGATGCCATCACTTTTCCTGGGTCACTGATGCAGCTGATTTTAGTGCCACCTGGGGAAGGAGTGGCGAGGGAATATGGCAAGGTAAGAATAGGGCTGTTGGGGGAGGGGAAGTATTTGCAGAAACAATGTCACTTTGCCCTGCAGGTTGGGCAGGGTGACTGTATTCCTTTAAGGAGATGTACAATGTCAATTCCAAAAAAGTCAGGATGCTGTGTAAAATCTACATAAAAACATAATGGTATGATATGCAAATCTTATAAACCCATATTTTACTTACAATCTAATAGAAAACATATCAAATGTTTAAACTGAGAAAATTTACCATTTTAAGAAACAAAATAGGTCCAAGATATGGATGTGTGCTCTATCATTTCCACCGTTACATTCTTTGTGTCTGTAGATGTGGTAGAGTCAATATGTCAAATGATGACAGTAAAATGTAAAAGAGTGCATCTGAGATGACTGGTTTGTTTTTATATTTGACTTTTGCATTCTTCTCATTTTACACTAGGAAACTTTAGGTCTTCTACTCTTAGCCCTCGTTCACACTCAAAAATATCAATCCTATTGTATTCAATGGTCTCGTTCCCACCTTGGCGTATTTCCGCCCGTCCCTAACGCGCTACAAAACGGCCCACGCCTGAAAAGGTACATGTACTACTTTGGGCCGTTTTGTTGCGCGTTTCCATTGGGATACAGCCAAGTAGCCTTCGGAAACGCGCATTTGTCGCGCGACATTCGCAGTAAAAAAACGCGCGACGGTCGCGCATATGCAATACGCCAAGGTGTGAACCAGGCCTTATGTACTTTTATGTTGCCTGATTAATGGCTTTACCTGGCTCCTTTTTTTTTTTCTAAGCAGGCTCTGAAAGGTAATATATTAATTTGTTTAATGTTTTCATAGGGCTTTGGGGAACAACTTTGACTGAAGATACTGCAGAAAACCGGGAGCTGTTTGTCAAAACTACACTGAGGGAGCTGCTTGTCTATATTGTCTTCTTGGTGGACATGTGTCTCTGTAAGTCTAAATACATGTTTACATTTTCATTAAATATTATCTGTATTGTTTTGAATTTTTTTTTTGGCAAGAGCCATGTCACACTAGTGATCGTGTCGTTAAAGAAAGGCACACCTGCTCCTATGACGTTGTTCTGTCATCTGGCTAAACCAGCGTTGTCAGTCCATTGCCGCTCCCTCATTTACAGCCTAGATTCTACAGCATTTCAGTTAGCGAGGGCACAACACCATAGGATGAAGTCAGCAATCTCTTTAGTGATCATGTTGCTGGTGGGTTGCAGCTAGTGACTGGATTGCTAAGGTGACACAGCCCTAATTCACGTTTGCATCTGTCCTCAATATTTTAGGGTTAAGTTAAAAAAAAATTGTATTCCACCTGAAAGTACTACATCCCCCCTTCCCCCCAGTGACAGTACATTCCTCCCTGGCCAGCTCACCCCCCAGTGACAGTACATCCCTCCCTGGTCTCCCCACCCCCTAATGACAGTACACCCCTCCCTGGCCACCTCACCCCCAACTGACAGTACATCCCTCCCTGGTCTCACCCCCAAATTACAGTACATCCCTCCCTGGTCTCGCCCCTAAATTACAGTACACCCCTCCCTGGACAGCCGTGCACGCAGCACGGATCTGTATGGGCCGGCCGTTAGCCATGTGAATGAGGGCTTAGGCCTGTGCAGAATTCTGCATTTGAGGACCTTGAAAATATATATATCCAGTTATCATGACTATTAAAAGAGAACTATGGGGTAAGTGTTTTTCCCCAAAATTGTCTTTAGGGTCACGGGAGGACATATGAGGGCTAAAGGTTAGTTTAGCAGCAGACGTGTCTATGTTAATTGTACATACCTCTCTTGCATTTAGACTGAATAGCTTTAGCATTGGACCTTTTTCCAGTTGGGACATTTAACAATATCAAATTTTATCTGAAAATTATCTGCCCATGTTACCATGTTGACAATATTATTTTGTAAGATATTACTATCCTTTTTGAGGTTTAATAATTTTGCATAGTTTTGGGTAATATCAGCGCAAATTCACATTACTTTCTAATCCTTCAGGTTTGAGTAAAATTATAAAAAAAAAGATTTGTGCTTTAGTACCATTGGGATACAACCCTGCTAACTTTCCCATTTTAAATATATTCTGTTTGCAACTTCCCTTTGTCTTCTGTCCTTTGTATGAAATATGTTGCTTGCGATCTTTGCTGATCAGTATCCCAATCTATCTTTACACCACCTTATCTTTTTCTAGTGACTTATGGGATGACGAGCTCTAACACTTATTATTACACCAATGTGATGTCCAACCTTTTCTTGTTTACTTCTTCCGATACTGGGGTCACGTTCCAGAGTATGAACAGCATGAATGATTTTTGGTCGGTAAGTGGAAATTCTCAATCAATACTAAACTGTTCTAGGTTTATAAATAAGTACGCAAATTTAGTTAAACCATGGATGTGATTTAACTAATAGTCAAGTCATTCCATTCAAAACTGATATTTCCGTTCTGGGTAGATGCTGGGACATCCAATTCACCTTCTGGCTTCCTATAACTTTAGGGGATGCTGGTAAAGAGATCTGTGGAACGCTGCGGACCACGGACACTGGTGACAAGATCTCTGGCACACTTGGCAACCAGAATGCTGGTGACCACATCTTTGGGACACTTGTGACCAGGCATGCTGTTGACTACATATCATGAATGCTTGTGACCAGGGACACTGGCGACCACATCTCTTGAATGCTTCCGTGTTTCCCCGAAAGTAAGATCTACCCCGAAAAAAAGACCTAGCGCTATCTTCAGGGATTTCTGTAATATAAGACCTACCCCGAAAATAAGACCTAGTTTGGTGGTAGGTCTTATATTACAGAGATCGTCTAGGTCTTACTTTCGGGGTAGCTGCACATATAATAGAATTTTACATGTGAAGACCGGCCGCAGCTCCCTCCCTCCCGCCCGCACGCGCACACACCCACCCACCCACCTGTCTGCCTCGGCTGCCGCTGAAGACTACATTTTCCAGCAGGCACAGCGCGGCATAGCCAGTGGGGTTGAAGTGGACGGCATCAAAGCGGAGAGCGGACTGCTGCAGCCAGGTAAATATAATACATCCCCCGAAAATAAGACCTAGTGTCTTTTTTCGTTGGAAAAAAAATATAAGACAGTGTCTTATTTTCGGGGAAACACGGTAGTGAACACATCAGTGTGATGCTTGTGACCAGATCTCTGCAGGTGCATTCCCAGCCCTGTGCATTATAGAAAAGTTAAGGAGAAATTGAATTCCTTTGGCTATATATGGCTTGTAGAGGCAGAGCTTTGAGCTGTGAAAAATACTACTACTGATGAAAGAAAGATGAAAGAAGCCAGTGGCCGACACAGCCCATGAGTGCCCATAACTGAAATACCAGTTGTAAATGGGCTGTCAGTGGTTCTCAACCTTTCTAGGGCCGGGACCCCTTTTGGTAACATTTGCCAAGTTGTGGTGACCCCCAACGGTACAATTTAGGAATGACATGGCTACTGCAACGACATCTGGCAGCGTGGCGGGAGAACTGACACTGCTGCGCTAGGAGAGGGCTGAGGAGGACTCTCATCTAGCATTAGAGAGTGATGAGAAAGTGTTTCTCTCCCGCACAGCTGGGAGCCGCTAGGCGACCCCTGGCAAATCGTCATTTGACCCCCGACGGGGTCGCGACCCACAGGTTGAGAACCGCTGGGCTAAGTAAATGTAATGTAGATATGTAATACTAACCTAAATATACTATTCATTTCTCTCCAGTACACACAAGGACCATTATTAGATGGTCTTTACTGGACCAAATGGTACAATAACGCAACTCTAGATAACAACCAACATTCATTAATTTATTATGAAAACTTACTTCTCGGAGTACCGCGGATGCGTCAGCTGAAAGTGGAAAACAACTCCTGTGTGGTACATCAGGACTTTAGAGATGACATTTCTGGGTGTTATGATGTGTATACAAAGGATGAAGAAGACAGGAATCCATTTGGACTGGTTAATGGAACAGCGTAAGTAAATGGTTTTTCTTCAGGCACACATTATTGGTCTTTTTAAAGTGCAACTAAAGCCCAAAATATTTTTCAAAAATTTGGATAGCGTGGAGAGGGATTAGAACACCTGTCAGGTTTGTATTGCTGTCTGTGTCCCTGTTAGGGATATTCACCCTCTCTATTTGTTCTTGTGACCATTACCACTGAAAGTAATATAAAATCCTTAATGTTTGGTTGTCACTCGAACAGGATTAGATGGGAAATCTTCCAATGGGGGACACTAGTTCTGGCCACCCTTCTGACCATCAGGGATTTCCTTCACTTTAGAAGGACTTCCTTTCACTTCTTGTTGGCTATCAGACAGAAATATTCCCAATTAGACACAGATGGCAAAAAAAGCTGGCAGGTTATAATCTTCCCTTACTCTAGCCAAAACCTAAAAGTGTAACTTTAGTTCTACTTTACGTCCTGTAAAAAGCAGGAATAATGTTGTAACTTGCAGCTTACACAGGGTATCCCAACTTCCGATAAGCAGAAGGAGGGATGGTTGGGTTGGGGGGGAGCAGGTGGGGCAACATCAAAGTGAACCTGTTGCTTTACCCTTTATGTGAAAAGCACAGGTTCACATTAAATGATTATGCCATTCTATATGCTATCATATCTGATCTGACAGTTCCTGCTTGTAGAGGCTGTTGCAAACTCTTTACTGCTCCTTCTTTCATACCTTCGCTCTCTAGCAATTACTAGATGGCAGCTGTGTAAACTCTGTATAAAAATCGACTTTACTTTCAAAAGTCTGACTCATTCTCCATGTTCAGTCTGCCTGGATACAATGACATCACCTCTCCTTTGCCAGTTGGCTGAAATTATTATACCACTCTACTAACTGTACAATCAAACATGATTATTATTATACAGGACAATTCAAGACAAGATGGTAAGGCGGGCCCTGCCCCTGAGGGCTTACAATCTCTAAAAGATTATGAAACTATTAAATGCCACTTATTGTCTATTGGTAGGGAATCCAGTCTCAATCTTTGTGACCTCTGCCCTCACATTATGGTCCTATAACTTAAAAGTTAAAGTAAAACGTTTCCCAGACTATGCACACTAAAATATTAACACATTCTGAACAAGCAGCAAAAAAACACAAAAAAATTAAACTAAAACAAGCCCTCATTTACCTGTGTCTATAGGAATTGTGGAGAAATGTGTCTTTAAATTTCACAACACAGGCACTAAAACCTATTGTGAACTAGTTTTCCTATTACTTTCTTTTGCAGCAGAATCTTGGAAGCCTGCCAGACCTCTAATGTAAACAAGCACCAGATGTTTCTAGGGTGTTAGAAATCAAATGAGACTCGACTTTTTTTGTGTGTTCCTTATACGATTCTTTGAGAAGGAATTACTTTATATTACAAGCAGCCAAAGAGGCTAGGAGTGGCTTGTTTTATAGCTCTTTTACTGTTTTTCAGTATGTAAATAATTAAATGTCCATAGTCTGGGCACAGGTCTACTTTAAAACCTCCTGGGCTTTTATATTTTTTGAGGATCCCAGCCATGAGCAAATTGTTGTGCTGTGAAATATTTGAATACATCCTTCTGATTTCCTGTGCCATGATAGTGGAAAAGACTGTTAATATGTCTTTCAGTGCTTCCAAAATGTTATATAATTGTGAAACTGTTTAATTTCCAGGTGGACATATTTCACTGAAGATGAGTTGGACGGTTCATCACACTGGGGTAAAATAGCAACCTATAGTGGTGGAGGTTATTATCTAGATTTTGAGATGACCAAACAGGACACTTTAAGGAGTCTGCAAACACTGAAAAAAAATCTGTGGCTGGATAGAGGAACTCGGGTGGTCTTTATTGATTTTTCAGTGTACAATGCCAACATCAATCTATTCTGCGTATTAAGGTAAGGGGATCTGAATTATATCTACATGAACGATAAACTAGAACAGGACAAAACTAAACAGTCTATGAACTCTGTATTCAATTGTGCAGGCTTTTACATTGCATCATTGTTGGTAGGTCTAAAGGAGATAGTAGAATCATATTGTATGATATGATATGGTCACATTTACAATGATGGTAGCTACAGTTCTATAAAATCACTTGCATACTGAACACACTAACTGAACAAATATTCTAATATTTTATAAAACAAATATTTTGTAGGCTTGTTGTGGAATTTCCAGCAACCGGTGGTGCAATACCATCTTGGCAGATCCGTACCGTGAAGCTCATTCGATATGTCAGCAACTGGGACTATTTCGTTATTGCCTGTGAAATTGTATTTTGTGTGTTCATCTTTTACTATGTGGTGGAAGAGTGTCTGGAGCTGAGAATACACAGGTGCAAATACTTCACTAGCATCTGGAACATTTTGGATGTTGTCGTTATACTGGTGAGTCCACTTTCCAAAGAAATATATGGCTATATGTATATGTAGGATCTCTTATTTCCTAAGAAAGAAAACGACTTAAGGTCACACACACAGTTTTGACCTTCTGAAACTGATAATATAATGCAGCAAAGGCATAACATCTATCATGATATGCATGAGCTGCCACTGGGGACCCCTCTCCTAGGTTCTGTTAATACTTCAACTCCGTGTGCTGCAGTGCATACATTTTTACGCGCTGATGAACGTAGCAGTGCGCTGCAGCGCATACTTTAATTTTGCATGGGCTTCTGCACCGCGCATCCGTGTACAATAAAGGCTTCAATACACCTCAATGAATACAAAAATAGGTGCGGTTTACAATTTATCACAGACCAGTGCAACAAACAGGGCACCATGTATTGTGCTACACTGTGTTAAACAAATGTACTTTGTAAAGGCACCTTGGGGTGCCATTTACACTGAATGGACTGATGTGAATGGGCAAATCTGCTAGTTGTCAGGCTTTACCCTGCTTCCATACTTCATCACAGACCCAGAAAGTCATTGAAAAGTCAGATTTCATAGTTGCTATTCTTATTCTGGTTCAGCCACTTAGGACACAGGAAGGTCAAAGCCTCCGCTAGTCAACTAGCATTTTCAAAATGAGGGTTAAGCAATAACCTCATCTATGTTTCCTCTTATAACAGGTGTACTCTCTGTCAAGAGAAACAGTAGATCAAGACAAATAGACAGCTGCAAAGTAAAGTAAATGTTAAAATTTCCTGTGACAGTCAAACGTGGCATTGTTCCCTCCAATCATTACTGCTAGAAACCCTGATTTGTATAATGTTTAAAATGAACATGTCATAAGAAAAACATTGAGGCTGCCATTGCTGCCCTTTCCTTCTGAAAATGCTAGTTACTTGGCTGACATGCTGACCTTCATGCTTTTTAATAGTTACTGACCTGGAACAGAGGTGTAAATAAGCACTTTAGTTTTGTTTGTTTTTTACTTGATCTATATACTTTGGATGTCAGGGACTGAAAAAGGAAACCAGTCAGACAGCATAAGTAGGACTGTAACAGGAAAGACAGCCAAGGCAACTTCCAGTTTTTACTCATGATGGCTTTACTCTAGAGCAGTGGTTCTCCATCCATATGTGCATTGCTTGTACAGCTCCCTGGCATGCCCTGTAGAGGTGTCAGGAGCCAGAATGTGACGTCACTCCAGTCCAGGCACCTCTACAGGACATGCGAGGGAGCTGTATGCAATGCACGTATGAATGGAGCTCCCTCACAGCTATAGCTGTGGAGAGACAGCAGGATGAGTCATAGCTCTGTGTGTCTGTGTGAGTGTTAGGACACAGAGAGAAGTCTATAGAACAGAACAAGTGAAAGGAGATTCTGTGTCTCTCTCGGATCTCCCCCTTATCCTGGGTCGCACAGACACATAGAACTATGACTCATCCTGTGTTCTCTCCACAGAGCAGAGGGGGAAACAGCTGATTGCAGTTTAGAGATAAGAAACCTGACCCTGTGAGAGAGACGGATTGAAGATATTGTGGAGGGAATTTTGTACTTCTAGGCCTCTGGCCTGTAAAAGAATCTATAAAATAATAGTATGAAATACAGCTCTGTGACTTCTAAGAATGCACACACATGTACATCCCCCCTGCACCTCCACATTACCACCAAAAACTCAAAATCACTTACAAAGGTGGAAATGTCCTTTTAACCTCCTGCCGTCTGCCCACTAAGAAAAAACAGACGGGGGACTCGCATCAGCGGGTTGCAGTCTCCAGACGGCATTTTTTCCTGCGCGCGCGGGCGCTGTGTTACATACAACCGATCGGTGGCTCTATAGCCGCCAATCGGTTGTATGGCGCGATTTTGTCTGAAAATGTTTAAGTCCGCCCCCCCCCCCTTCGTTTACGCACATATAAACGTAAATGTGCGTCAGATGTGTCAGCGCCCGCGAAAACCACAATTGCGCTACACATTGCTCTCACTGCGACGTTCACAGCGATATGTAATCATTTTAGGGCCATCAGTCACTGATAACACTAAACTGATGAGCGGTAAAAGCTTTTAACCAGTTGACATCCGCGGTTTTAAACCCCCTTCCCATCCAGGCCATTTTTCAGTATTCAGCGCTGCGGTACTTTGACTGACAATTATTCCGTCATGCAGCGCTGTACTGAATGAACGAGCACATATAGGCGATCGGCGGGCTATGGACCCGCTGATCGCCTATATGTGAAACACCCGGTAACGCGTGTGTTTAATCGTCGGGTCTTTTCTGCCCGTGCGTGCCCGCTAGGGGGCGCGCGCGAGCAGAAAAAAATTTGCCGTCTGGAGACGGCAACCCGCAGATGCTGCAGTGCCGTCCGTCCGTTTTTTTACTACGGGCGGACGGCAAGAGGTTAAAGCATCGCGTATGGCCAATTTTGGGTAATGTCGTTTTTTTAGGTTTCGCGCGCGTGCGCAACTTTAAGGCCTGGTATGTTTGGTGTCTTTTTACCCGACGTGACCGTGTCTTTTATATTTTACCAAAAAATTGGGTAATAATAAATGTTTTAGAATTTAATATAGGGGAAACTTTTTTTTTTTTTTAATCTGTAAATTTTCCTTAATATAGTAAAAAATAAAAACCCCAGTGGTGATTAAATGCCACCAAAAGAAAGCTCTGTGTCCCCATAGAGTAAGGGTATAAAATTCATTTCTGTACAGCGTTGCATGACGGAATAAATGTCAGTCAAAGTACCGCAGCGCTGAATACTGAAAAATTGCCTGGATGGGAATGGGGTTTAACACCGTGGACTTCAAGTGGTTAAAAGGACTTACTGCATTTTGTTAATCTCTTTCAAGCTGGCCATACACCTTACAATTATCTGCAGATTTTCTATGGTCAGATGGAAAAGGTGCAACAGATTCCTCCAACTACACTGAACTGTGTGGATGGAGGAATCTCCACCTGGGCCAATCTGTTACACTTTTTCCATCTGACCACAGAAAATCTGCAGATAATTGTAAGGTGTATGGGCACCTTTACCCGAGCAAAGGGCATCACCCAAAAAGCATTTTAATGAGCTGATTAAGGAATAGTCTGATTGGTTGCTGCAGGCTTCCGATCATCACTAGTATTTAACAAGCCCCGGAAGACTGTGTTATCTGGACATGAAGATACTGAACTCTGGTAGAAGATTAAAAGGAAATTACATAAAAATGAAATCAAGGATTGAACAGAATAAATTCATAATTTATGCAGCCTGTGTTTAGGGTAACATCAAGATTACAGAATAGATGAATCTGCCCCTTTTTCATTGCTGTTAATATGACTTTACATGTGAACTGCAGAAGTATAAGTAATTGGCACAGTTTTGTCAAGCTTTCTCTTGTAGCCATTGCATTCCACATCTTCCGAACTCTGGAGGTAAATCGGCTTATGGGGTCCCTTCTGGAACAACCCAACACATATGCAGACTTTGAATTTCTGGCTTTTTGGCAGACCCAGTATAACAACATGAATGCAGTTAATCTGTTCTTCGCTTGGATTAAAGTGAGTATACAAGTTTTATATTTGTGGCAGAGAGGTGTTCATCCACACAGTTAAGTAAGTTGTTATGAAAGTTTGTCTCTGCATTGATAAGAGTATAAATAGCAGAAACCTACTACATAGCAGATGAATTCTAAATTCTGCAGGCAGAACTAGTGATTATGGTGTGTAAGTAATAAACGAACAAGTAATGTACCATATGTGACTTTTACATGTTATTGTATTAAATATGCAGATTTGTAGATTAGCTAAAAGACATATAACTGTGTTTCACTGCATTGAATAAACCTCCTTGTTTACCAATTAACGAGATACAGTATAGGCTGTATAGTGGCCTAATACGTTTGATCCTCTTGTACATAAATAATTTAAAAATATTAAAGCACAACTGCAAGTCCTTGGAGTGGTTACGTGACGTCACAGGTCTATTCTTCTGCTTCTGACCTTGGTGGTGAGCGGATCTGAATGCTGCATAGAACAGTTCTCAAGTAATCTTGGCAGCACATTCTCTCCAGCCTTTTCCAGGTAGCCCAGGCTGGCTTGATGATACACCCCACAAGGGGCATGTCTATGACACACTGGGCTCACAAGAAGTGGATTGAATTATGCTAGCCATCATTCAACCTGGAAGAGTATAGAGAAGAGGTGAGTATTGAAGCAGAAGCAAAAACATTTTTCATTTTAAAATACTTTGGGCAATCAATATTTTTAATTTATAATATTAATCTTTTACACATATATTAACACTATGATTTATATTGGGCTGATCTCACTCATTTATTTATTTAAAAAAAAATAATAATAATAAACTTTATAGATCCCCTTTAACCATGCTTTATCTATACTATCTGGAAGCTGGTGATGGCAGCTTGTGGTTCCAGAGAGTTAATGAATGGGTTTTAGGCACTTTAAGTTGTATTTTATGAGTGAGCTACATATTCTTACTAGAATTTCACTGTTTTCTTTCAGATCTTTAAATACATTAGCTTCAATAAGACAATGACACAACTTTCATCAACTCTTGCTCGCTGTGCTAAGGATATTCTTGGCTTTGCGATCATGTTCTTCATAGTTTTTTTTGCCTATGCTCAGCTTGGATATCTTCTTTTTGGCACACAAGTGGAAAACTTTAGCACATTTGTGAAGTGCATGTAAGTGTATGCATTTACATATTTCAAATGTATTGTAGTTATCTTTGGATATTGCCTGGCCATGCATAATCAAATTGCAAACTTTCTATTTTCTAGATTTACCCAGTTCCGAATCATCTTAGGAGATTTTGACTATGACGCTATTGACAATGCTAACAGAATTTTAGGACCAATTTACTTTGTAACCTACGTATTTTTTGTCTTCTTTGTGCTGTTGGTAAGATTATGCAAACTTGTTATTTTATTATCTTGATTCCTCCAACTACACTGAACTGTGTGGATGGAGGAATCTCCACCTGGGCCAATCTGTTACACTTTTTCCATCTGACCACAGAAAATCTGCAGATAATTGTAAGGTGTATGGGCACCTTTACCCGAGCAAAGGGCATCACCCAAAAAGCATTTTAATGAGCTGATTAAGGAATAGTCTGATTGGTTGCTGCAGGCTTCCGATCATCACTAGTATTTAACAAGCCCCGGAAGACTGTGTTATCTGGACATGAAGATACTGAACTCTGGTAGAAGATTAAAAGGAAATTACATAAAAATGAAATCAAGGATTGAACAGAATAAATTCATAATTTATGCAGCCTGTGTTTAGGGTAACATCAAGATTACAGAATAGATGAATCTGCCCCTTTTTCATTGCTGTTAATATGACTTTACATGTGAACTGCAGAAGTATAAGTAATTGGCACAGTTTTGTCAAGCTTTCTCTTGTAGCCATTGCATTCCACATCTTCCGAACTCTGGAGGTAAATCGGCTTATGGGGTCCCTTCTGGAACAACCCAACACATATGCAGACTTTGAATTTCTGGCTTTTTGGCAGACCCAGTATAACAACATGAATGCAGTTAATCTGTTCTTCGCTTGGATTAAAGTGAGTATACAAGTTTTATATTTGTGGCAGAGAGGTGTTCATCCACACAGTTAAGTAAGTTGTTATGAAAGTTTGTCTCTGCATTGATAAGAGTATAAATAGCAGAAACCTACTACATAGCAGATGAATTCTAAATTCTGCAGGCAGAACTAGTGATTATGGTGTGTAAGTAATAAACGAACAAGTAATGTACCATATGTGACTTTTACATGTTATTGTATTAAATATGCAGATTTGTAGATTAGCTAAAAGACATATAACTGTGTTTCACTGCATTGAATAAACCTCCTTGTTTACCAATTAACGAGATACAGTATAGGCTGTATAGTGGCCTAATACGTTTGATCCTCTTGTACATAAATAATTTAAAAATATTAAAGCACAACTGCAAGTCCTTGGAGTGGTTACGTGACGTCACAGGTCTATTCTTCTGCTTCTGACCTTGGTGGTGAGCGGATCTGAATGCTGCATAGAACAGTTCTCAAGTAATCTTGGCAGCACATTCTCTCCAGCCTTTTCCAGGTAGCCCAGGCTGGCTTGATGATACACCCCACAAGGGGCATGTCTATGACACACTGGGCTCACAAGAAGTGGATTGAATTATGCTAGCCATCATTCAACCTGGAAGAGTATAGAGAAGAGGTGAGTATTGAAGCAGAAGCAAAAACATTTTTCATTTTAAAATACTTTGGGCAATCAATATTTTTAATTTATAATATTAATCTTTTACACATATATTAACACTATGATTTATATTGGGCTGATCTCACTCATTTATTTATTTAAAAAAAAATAATAATAATAAACTTTATAGATCCCCTTTAACCATGCTTTATCTATACTATCTGGAAGCTGGTGATGGCAGCTTGTGGTTCCAGAGAGTTAATGAATGGGTTTTAGGCACTTTAAGTTGTATTTTATGAGTGAGCTACATATTCTTACTAGAATTTCACTGTTTTCTTTCAGATCTTTAAATACATTAGCTTCAATAAGACAATGACACAACTTTCATCAACTCTTGCTCGCTGTGCTAAGGATATTCTTGGCTTTGCGATCATGTTCTTCATAGTTTTTTTTGCCTATGCTCAGCTTGGATATCTTCTTTTTGGCACACAAGTGGAAAACTTTAGCACATTTGTGAAGTGCATGTAAGTGTATGCATTTACATATTTCAAATGTATTGTAGTTATCTTTGGATATTGCCTGGCCATGCATAATCAAATTGCAAACTTTCTATTTTCTAGATTTACCCAGTTCCGAATCATCTTAGGAGATTTTGACTATGACGCTATTGACAATGCTAACAGAATTTTAGGACCAATTTACTTTGTAACCTACGTATTTTTTGTCTTCTTTGTGCTGTTGGTAAGATTATGCAAACTTGTTATTTTATTATCTGTTGCTCTGGACTATTCAGCACAGATAGCTAATTGTGGTTGAAGGGAGAGCGAGACAGAGCAGGATCCTATGGTGGACAGAGAGAAGATAAAAATGCAAGATAGGAGCTCATTCATACTGAAGGGTGGATGGAAATAGGAGCAGCAATTGAGCATTGTCCACTTGGAGCAGTATATGGTCATGATCAGGGGGCAGAAGGAGAGCTGGGTGTGGGGGTAGGGAGCAGAGTGCGAGTTCAATTAGGGATCAGGGATAGGGAAGAAAAAGTGTTGAGTGTGTACCCTTGGGAGAGGACACAAAGCAGGAGCTGGTCATGGATGAGGCAAGGGAGTGAGGAAAGAAAAGGTGGAAAAGGAAATAATCATGGCCAGTGGACAGGAGAGGATCTGGGCAGAGGGTGAGAGCAGAGCAGGAGCTGATAGCGGAGTGCAAACTGAGAGGAAAACATGAGCCTGAACCTGTTCAGGGGGAGACATGGACTTGGAGGCTGATCATGGCTGGGGAGAGGTAGAACAGGAGGTGGTCATGGCTGCAGGAGGGAGGCAAGATAAAGTGGGTGGTGATCTTCGTCAGGGTGGTGGAAGATGCATATTTAAAGCTGTTTGATGGAGGTTGGGAAGAAAAGAAGAGCAGAAGTTGTTTGTGGCATTGGTAAAGAGAGGGGCAGAGTAGGAACGGACTGTGGGAAAGTGATCATGGCAGGGTAGGAAGGCATAGCAAGAGGTGTGTGTGGTCAAAATAGGTTTGGTCGGGCATACAGCGTTGATTTTAATAAAGTGCATTACATTTATTTTTGAACAATGTATGACCTGTTTTTCACTACATTTAAAGTGAACTTGAGGTAAAAAATACATTCGGTCAGTTCAATTAAAAATGTCATGGCTGATCATCGGATGTCGATGTGAAGGTCCTGGTAAAGTAAAACTTTCTAAAGAGAGAAGCCTCCATTATGTAATCTTGGTATGGCTAATTTTGGAGGCCAAGTTTATTAGAAAAGGTTACTGCATTTGAAAGTTACATATCTGATAAATTACTCAAAGTGTGATAGGTGTAAAATATTTCTTACAATCTAGTATGCAGTATGCATGTCAAGTAATGCACGAAATAAAGAATTTCATACATTTACAAAGGTATGGCACTGTGTTTTTTTTAATGTAGAACATGTTTTTGGCCATCATCAATGATACCTACTCAGAGGTCAAAGAGGAACTTGCAAACCAGAAGAATGAGCTACAGTTTTCTGACATCTTAAAGCAGGTGACTATAATTGCTAAACCTTAAATCGACAGCAATGTATCACAATTGGCATTTTTAAGAGCTTATGTACATGCCCGTTTGTTAGAATCATATCTTCTTTCTACATTCTAGTCAATGGGAAAACAAAAAGGCCAGAAGCAGCTCAGAAGGATTTTTGAGTGCTTTAAATACACTCAAAAGCACTCTATCCTACTACACAAGCCCTCAGGCATGTGTATGTGTAAAATTAGATTTGTATTTTTTTACAATATTTTCAGAAGTTTGATAAATTGGTTATCAAAAGGATACGCACTTAAAAGATGTATCTTTTTCAATATTTAGGGTTACAAGAAGACAATGATGAAGCTTAAGCTAAAGAAGGAACGGATTTCAGATGTGCAGAAAGCAATACAGAATGGTTCTAAAGAAGTGACATTTGAAGAATTCAAGAACAGTTTAAAAGAGTGAGTGGAAAATATTACTGAGATAAGAACCTTAGTCACAATACATATAATTGGGGATCCTATTGTCCCAACATCTCTAAACTAATAAAATGTTTTTTATGTGAACAGACTTACTAAACTAAGGACACCATTTTGATAAAAGCACAAAAAGAGGCTCTCATCACAAGGCTGGCTACATTGATAAAATTATGACATCACATATGGTATAGGACAGCCGACTAACTGCTCAGGTCTTCAGTTTACCGCAAATGTATCAAAATATGATAGTGAACCAAATTCCCATACTGCTTTTTGTTTGTACTCTGGGGACCATTATTTTGTAATGCTGGATAGGAATTTGTTGTTGTACCATTGCATTAAAACAAAAAACACACCTTTTTGTTTTAGAAAAAAGCCTTTATTTCATTTGTAAATAACTTTGACATTTAGTATAACAGAAACATAAGTGTCATTATAAAAGTAACAAATCTCAGAACTACAGTAAACATTTTTTCTTTTTTTTTGATTGTATGTTTTGTCTTAAGAATATATTAAAAAATAAATGGAATTTTTGTACTCACCGTAAAAACATTTTCTTGGAGTCAATGAGGGCCAAAGGAATTCAGATACAGTCGGGTTACACTGCCGCCTATAGGAGGACACTGGCAAACAAAAAAAATTGTAGGCCAGCCCAGGATAACCCCTCCGCTACCCAGCATGCCTCAGTTTTGTAGCAAGCAGTACCAAAAGCATGACTCATAAACAGAGGGTGGTATTTGTGTCCTTCAATAGACTCCAAGTAACGGATATTTATCCGCAATGGATAGAAGACATAGTTTAACAAATTCTCTCTCAAATGGGAACAGCTCCAACATACTCTCATGTGGGGCCCCAGTCAGGGCCGGATTTACTCTCTCTGCTGCCCCAAGGCCAGGTTCCTCAATGCGCCCCCCTACCTGCCAAACTCCCCCTCCCACGGAGAATGGCAGACTTGCAGGTTGCATACAATGTTGCCAAGATCACCTGTACAAAACAAGCGGCGGCTTCCCCGCTGTACATTTAGTTCTGCTTGCCCAAAGCAGGGCTAAATGTAGAAAACGTCCTGCCCGGTGCCCTGAACTGCATGTCCCGGGCATCAGGAGATAGGAATTCCACACCCCTGCTGCCCCTCTACTCCCTGCTGCCCTGAAGCCAGGCCTTGGTTGGCCTTGTGGGAAATCCAGTCCTGGGCCCAGTACCCTTCAGGGTGCTTCAAGCTCACATAGAGGAATAACTCAAATAGTGGGTGTATTGGAAAGGTCTTTGCAGCTGTAGTCTCTGAAAGACCCAGAGCTGGAGACAACAGGCTGATCTTCCAGACGCAAGGTAGTGCCTACAGCACCAATAAGGACCGAAACTACCTTTTGTAATTCTGAGGTGACAGCAGGAGAGTGCAGCACCTCAAAATAAACAGCCTTATTAAAGATAAGACTGTAGGGACTCTGAGATGGTCACTGTGACTGATGTGTTCTAAAGTCTTGGACAGATCAGAGATTGACTCTGCAGTCGGTATCTGCAAGGAATTGGCTGAATTTGGCCACCAAGTCTCATGTGACTGCAGTATAAGCCCCTTATGATAGGGTATGGAACTGCCCCTCACTAAGGGAGACTCTGATGAGGTAGACCCTATACCCAAAGGATCACTGGATTCCAGATTCTACACATCAGTGCCCTCAGAGGTTACATTAGGAGAGTATGAGCTGGGATCACCTGTAGTAGCATGACTGACTTAGATAAAGACATGTTGGGACTGTGCGGCAGTGATGCAACAAGGCTCAAGGTACGAGGCAAGGCCTCAGGTATTTACAAATCAAAGCATCTGGTGGCTTAGGTTCTAATGGCTGAAGGTGAACAGGGTCACTGCAGGCAGGCAGTAGGAACAAACCAAAAATCGAAGTTCTACATGGTGCTTTTGCAAACAGCGATGAAGTGAGGAATTTTGATTGATGCCATTTGGAGGAGAATCCCAAAAACTTTTAAGTGGAAAAATAAAGGCTAGCAAATACTAGTTAAACTTTTCTTAGCTAAGCTGGAGAAAAGACTTCCATCTTCCTAGGAGATTAGAAAAACTAAGGCATGCTTGGTAGAGTAGGGGTTATCCTGGGCTGGTCTACAATTTTCTTGTTTGACACTTTTTCCTTTAGGCAGCAGTATAACCTGACCGTATCTGAACTACCGTGTCCCTCAGGAGGCAAAAGGGAATTTTGCTGTTGTCCAAAATCATTGAAAAAAACTGCTGCTTTAATGTTATAGGTAACGGCAGGATTTTTGCAAATCAATAGACTATAGCTGAAATGTATAAATTACTGTAGTCTGCAAGGAGTATACAAGTGTGAGAGCTTAAGAATGAACTGCAGGCAAACAGCTAAATAATACACAGATGAAAAACATACAAAGAAGCTGTTTTACCCGCCTATGGAATTGTATTGCCATCCAGTTTTTAGAATTGCACAGCTCTGTCGGGGCAGGAGTTCTGATTTCTCTCTGTAGCAGTCCTGCTAACGTGTGTTGTGCCGCTTCTACCCTGTGACTTGGCAATGAAAGGAGAATAAGCTCACCTCTGTCACCACTCTCTCTCCTATTATCACAATGTTCCTCGTTAGCACATGTGCACTGAAGCAAAACTGATTTGCTCCATGTGCTGCTTTTCTCTCACCCAGTCTAAGGTCTGCTGTACAGGGACTACAAGCTAAAGCCAGGCCAAATTCAGGTACTTGCACTGCTTGAAAAACGGCTAAGTATATATTAATGAATACTTTGTGTCTTTCATATCAGCATTGACGTCAACTTTAAGTATATCAACTTAAGTACATATACTTTTGCAGGATGGGTCATGATGATCATGAAATTACAACAGCCTTTTCCAGATTTGACCAGGATGGTAACCGGGTTCTTGATGAAGAAGAACAGAAGAGGATGAAAAATATTCTGGAGGAAAAGAGGGTAAGTAAACAACCAATAACCTAGTAGCAGTATGTTACTGTAGATACTGTTCAAATGCTTCTTAATGCCCATAAATCGTTTATTAAACTGTCAAAACCCATGGGTGGGCAGTGTTGCCCACCAGGTTAGATCAACCAAAAGCTTCGGAAAAGGCTACTTCAGAGGAGTTCTTGGTTTTGTGCGGACTTGTGTGAACGAGCACTGTGCTGTGTTCTTACAATGCATTTCAAATGGACACCAGTACACATGCATATTAAACGCACAATAATGCTCATTCACTGGTGTGAGGCCCCATGCACACCTGAGAGTAGCATGAATGCGAGCCACATTTGTGCATGTTTGTTTTCCCCGTTTGCCACTCATCCCATTAATTTTAACAAGCGCGGAAAAGTAGAGCATGTAGCCACATCTATGACAGTCTGCATTATTCTTCTGCCTTTGTGCGTGTTTTAATGCACGCAAATGTTTAGGAAAAATGTGCATCTTCCTGGCTGTGTTTGGGGTGCCATTAATAATAATGGAACAGCAAGCATGTTTTGCATTTTTGGCGTGTTTCGCAAACGTTTGTGTACATTTTCCCAAAACTCTCAGGTGTGATGGGGCCTGAATGGGCAGCAAGTAAATTTGATGCATCAGTTGGAAGTGGCAAAAAAGTTCTCCCTTGCAAAACTAATGTACTAATGTCTTTCCTGATGCACCAAAAAGAGTCCTATAGGTTATAATGAGTGGAGAAGCTGAGGAGTAATGTGTTGCAAAACGCCCTATTGGATGCATTACGGCAGGAGCAATTGTGCTTTAAAATGTGTAAACCGGTCACTTCCTGGCTTTTTCCTCAGTGTTTTGCCCAAAAAAGGCCTTTATCACCATGTCTGAGGTGGTGAAAAATCATGGGGACTTTTCACAACACAGTGATAAAGCGCTTTCCTCCTTTTCACTGTTTAGTAAACGGGTGCATTGCTATCACTCTCTGTGTACTTCTCACTATGAAGAGAAAAGGCGAGATATTTCAGTTCCTACCTGACTTATCACGGTTTATTAAACACCACTTTAGAGACTTTTCATTGTGATAAGGTGAGAAAAGTGTTATCACACTCCTTTCAGTTTATAAATGTACACCTAAGTGAAAAAACATTCATCCGCCTTTACCTAAAGCTGAGCTCAGGCTTCCTGGGCTCATTTCACTAAAATGCAGTGCTCTTGTGCTTTCTTCAAACTTTCATGCATTTAAAAACACATTTAATGAATTATTAATCATTACAAAGCAGCATTAATTTGTTTTTATATCTGTCTAGAATTTAACTTTTTAAATTGAACAGCTGTCTAAAGCTGGTCACACACCTATAGATTATCTGCAGATTTTCTATGGTCAGATGGAAAAAGTACAACAGATTCCTCCATCTACTCTAAACTGTGCGGATGGAGGAATCCCCCACTGGGCCAAGCTTCAGTATCTTGCTAGTTGGCCCCGCTGGCTTCTTAAAATACCTGAACAATCTGATTGGATGCAGGCATTGTTCAGATATTTTGAGAACCAGCGGGGCCGACTAGCAAGATACTAAAGCTTGGTCCAGCGGGAGATTCCTCCATCCACACAGTTCAGCGTAGATGTAGGAATCTGTTGCACTTTTTCCATCTGGCCATAGAAAATCTGCAGATAATCTATAGGTGTATGGCCAGCCTAACACCATGAAAACTTGGTTAAATTTCAGTTCTATCTCCTCTTAACCCAAAGGATTAGTGTCTAAGATGGTGACAGGTATGCAGCTTATACGCCTGTAAAAAGGGACACATTTTGGGGCTGCGTTGGGCTCTGCTTGGTGTAAGGGGTCTGTTTGGTGGAAGCCATATAAGCAAAAGGAAACAAAAGCTTCACTGTAATATGACAGGGCAGTTATTTTAATGCAACAGGACCAAGAGAAGGCACAAATTGCTTCATTTTGCATATGCACTTTTGTGACTGAATCAGGCAGTGGCTTCATGACCAGGGTGATCTTTTAGCAAGTCAAGCAGATATATTTGTGAGTATGGCATGAATTTATCAAAACTGGAGCAGACAAAGGTGTACGTTTAATAAACTGTGATAAAACTAGCTTTATCACGAGTTAACTTTACTCAGATCTCTTTGTTTTTCTCGGCTGCACAGAGGCTGTTTAATAACCTGCGAAAAGAAAACTTATCTAACGTAACAGCTGTGAAAGGCTGAGATAAGTTATCTCAGTGATCAGTTGAGAAAGCAATGTGGGGAATGTATTCTGAGCTGCACAATGACATCCTTTGTGATAATCTGCAATCCTCCTGACAGGATCGTAGTTTAATCTGCCAAACCACCCAATAACAATATTACAAAGCACCGCTATAGCAAAGTGCAACAGTTATTTCACCTTTAAAATTAAGAAAATTGCTAAAAAACAGGATTTACATGTTCTGATTTGTTCAGCATGTACCAGTACAAAACCATGAATTAAACTACCAGAGGCAGCCACAATGCGAGGCAGTGATGGGGTTAAACATTCTAAAGGGGCACTCTGATGGAGCCTAGCAATGTAAGTGGGCACTCTGACACATGCTGGAAATTAGAATGTTTGGCGTCCATGAAAAAAGCCTGCTGTCCCGAGGTAGGTGCATCAGCACTGTGTGTGTGCAAACACACTAGCAGCAGGTATTAATGCATCATAAACGGCAGACCATGGTGGCGAAATAGTGTTACAGACTTATGTGTGGAGTGCAATGTTCACTGCATCTGCCTCTAAAACATACTCCACAGACATCCTTCAAGCTTTGGTGGGCCTGTTTCTGAGGGAGAGTGAGACTTCAACAACAAGCCCTAAGGTCACATGACCTTACTAAACTTTCCCTCACACTACACAGATACAGTGAGGGGACCTGAAACTGCCACTGTCACTCTCATGAGGGAAGGGTGGCATTAAGACAGACTTCGCTCCTGTTCCCTCTCAAGGCTGTGACACACTGCAGGCGAAGCCAAGCAAAGGGAAAAAAAAACCCAACCTTCCACTTTGCACCGCAGCTTGGCTACACTGTAGTTTGTCCGGCACAGCGGAGCTCGGGATCGCCAGCGGCAACGGAGTGGCCGCACAAACGCACGCATATTACAAGTGATCGGGACGTCTGAACGCTTGTATGTAAACAGCCATCGCTGGCTGTTTACATTGAAAGGCAATTTCCCGTTCGTGAGCACGGCCTAGCGGCGGCCACGAGCGGGATGGGTTAGGACATTTAAAAACGCCCACCCGCATTCCGTCTGCTGCCCGGCCGTTTAATTACAACAGCCTGACAGCAGGTGGTTAATTATTTAATTCATAAATATTCTTTGTTGATTATGAAATATAGTTCTATTTTTTTAAATGTATTATTATTATTTCGATATTGGAATAATTAATATTTCATTAAATATTATTTATGTAATTATTACATAAAATGATTGCATTAAATACGTATTAGTTATTTATTTCATTACTAATTAATAATCAAATTAATATTTGATTAATGATACATTTTTTCATTATTATGAATTAATAAAATAAGTAATTAAACATATTATTTAGTATATCATATATTTAATTATATAATATATGTACATATGTATCATGTACATATGTATCACAAGGTCTGACAGGGTGCTAAATCAAGGGCACTTTTCACAATACTTATCCAGGGATAAAGCTGTTCTCTACTTTTCTCCCTTTATTAAACAGGTACATTCCCATTACTTTCTGTGTACTTATCACCAGGATGAGAAGAGGTGAGATATTTCTGTTCCTACCAGACTTATCTCGGGTTATTAAACAGCATTTTCTAGACTTTTCACTTTGCTAAGGTGAGAAAAGCCTTCTCACTGCTTATCACACTCTTTCACAGTTTATTAAACGTACACCAAAATCTGGTGCAGCTGTGCATGGCAAACAATCAGCTTTTCTCTTCAGTTAAAATTTGAAAATGAAAGAGAAAAGCTCCAGATTTTGTCTGCTCCAGTTTTGATGAATTCCCTTCAATGTTGTCTCTTGTTTAAGACGGGGCAAATATCATGTTGTCTGGTGAGCTCCATATTATTATTGTATTCTAGCTGGCTCTGAATGCTGAAATTGAGAATCTGGGAAGATCATATGGCAGCAAGGCTCTGGATGAAGGGATCAACGTATCAGACATAAAGAACAACCTTTCTGCCAACGCCAACCGGGTGTCGCAGGAGGAAATCAACACGTATGACACTTTTTTTAAAACCATATTTAACAGTGGAAGAATACTGTAGGTGCAGGTTGATTTAAATGCATTTTACACTGACGTCAGGGTTTTGTGTAAATCTGATTTAAACTAGTCATAAGGAAACATGTAGGTTGTGAATACTGACTACCTTCTGGAAATGCTACCTGCCTGGCTTTCATGCTGTTGCATTGGTTTCAGTGCATTATGAGTAATGCACACCTAGGCATCCAGCAGCATCTAGGTGCCTTCAGTCTAGGTCAGTTTACCCAAAATAGACATTTCTGCATTCCGGGTCAGACTAGCCCAGTTCTATGTAGCTAAACGTGTGTAACCGCGTATAAACGCAACTAAGCCAGGCACAGAAAAAAGTGATCTGGAAGCATAAAGTTGTTTATCCTTACAAGATAACTCCTGTTGGGCTTAAACATTACCTGCTAGTGTGCATGAGGCCTAAGTAGAGAGAAGTATCAAAGCAAATGTACTCATTTGGGGATTATTCTGCTCTGTCATATATGACCATGGAGGAAAGTGATAAACTCACGATTATGTGACAAATGTTGGAAGCTGTTCAGTCTCCCGTACACCCCCCCCCCCCCCCCCCCCTCCCCCTTGAAAAAACCCAACAATTTTTGCTC